ACTTGCTCCAATTGCGCTCAAAATTGGCGCAACAAGCTAAAAAGGGACGCTGAGTTCGATAATGACAAAATTTCTGCAATATTCTCACTGTTGGTGTTTGCGGACCAAACACCATACCTGACGAAAATTGCTCCAAATGTGCTCAAAACAGCTGTTAGAAGTCAGAATATTGAAAAACTGATGTCATTTTTGATTTTTTCGCAACCTTTTACCCTGTGAAACTAATTTTCAGCTAGTTTAGAGCAAGTGTCGTAAGATGTCATGTTTGGTCCGCAAACACCAAAAATTTTTCAAATTTGCTCAAAATTGACACTACGAGCTAAAAAGGGACGCTGATTTCGAAAATAGCAAAATTTCTGCAAAATTTTCAACTTTTGGTGTTTGCGGACCAAACACCATACCTTACGACACTTTGTCCAAATTAGCTGAAAATTGGTATTCTGGCCTAAAAAGGTACAGGGAATCCAAAAATCTTATTGATTTTTCACAAAAATCATCGGTTCCCCACTTACCACTGCCACAAAACTCTCCAATTTATCGATTGTCTCCTGGAAATCGTTGAGTTTTTGCTGAAATTTTGTGTGCAACTCGATTTGTCGAAGAGCCTGAGCGGAATCCGAAGCTAGTGGACCAAAAGATTCAATTTCGAGTTCGGTGGCGTCGAGCCATTGGCTAATGGTGTCCAATTCGCTGAAAACGACACAATTTGGAATTTTCGAAATTTCGAACTACAGTATCTCGGTCAATTTTTGTGCAAATTCAAAAACTTTTAGAAGTTTTGAGTTTGGTAGGATGAGTGCTTAAAAATGAGTATAAACATGACCTATATTGGGGAAAATCGATTTTCGACATTTAAAGGCGCATGGACCCTCGAAAAATCAAAATCGGCCAAAGTAGGTCATGATTATACTCATTTTGAAGCTCTTATCAATCTACATTTGAAAATTCAAAAAATTTTGAAATTGATCAAAAATTGAATCGTAAATACGGTGGTTTGAATACGGTGGTTTGAATTATCAAGCCTTTTTGGATTTGAAGGTGTCGCTACCGTATCTCATCTAGTATTTGTCAGATTTCGGAAATTTTAATATTTTTGAATTTGACTTGATTAGTACTTCAAAATGAGTATAATCATGACCTACTTTCCGAAAAATCGATTTTCGACATTTAAAGGCGCATGGACCCTCGAAAAATCAAAATCGACCAAAGTAGGTCATGATTATACTCATTTTGAAGCTCTTATCAATCTACATTTGAACATTCAAAAAATTTTGAAATTGATCAAAAATTGAATCGTAAATACGGTGGTTTGAATTATCAAGCCTTTTTGGATTTGAAGGTGTCGCTACCGTATCTCATCTAGTATTTGTCAGATTTCGGAAATTTTAATATTTTTGAATTTTACTTGATTAGTACTTCGAAATGAGTATAATCATGACCTACTTTCCGAAAAATCGATTTTTGACATTTTTGAAGGCCTCTCGGAAAAATGGGAAAAATCCAAATCGAGCAAACCTAGTCGTGATTAGGCTCATTTTGAAGCAAACTTCTTGCTAATTCTAATTTTCTAACTTTCGAAAATCAAAAAATGCTCACCTTTGCTGTAGCAGATGAATTTGTTGTTGAAGAATGGCCTGCTCGTGCATCGCCTGCTCTCTCAACGCCTCCCATCTCGTGTTCACCAAGTGTAGTTTCGAAGCGATCGCCTCTTTCTCCTCCTCATTTTCAGATTTATTGCTCAGCATTTGTCCTCTGAGCAATACTCGACCTACAGTATCCTGACTGTCCGTTAAGCTGGACATAAAGGACTCAAAGTCTGAAAATTGGGATCTGACTGATGCCAGCTCGACACGTGGCATCTGAGTGAGGGTGGAGAGCTCATCTTCGGCCTCTAGAAGCCACGTCAGCACTTGTTCGATGCAAGACTTGAATTCTGCCAGCTGCTCTTCTCTCCTCACTTTTTTGGATTTTCCTGATTTCTGGGAGCTGGATGAGGACTTTCTGGAGCGCACCTCACTCTGAAAAATTTTAACTTTATGAAATTTCGATTCACCACGTCAAGAGCTTCAAAATGAGCCTAAACACGACTAGGTTTGCTCAATTTCGATTTTTCGAGGGTCCATGAGCCTTTACAGTCGAAAAATTGATTACTTCCACAGTGGGTCATGATTATACTCATTTTGAAGCTTTTGACGCGGTAAATCCAAAACTAATGAAATTTCTCAACTTGAAAAAAAAAATGACCGAGATACGGTAGTTTCAAATTTTTCGCAAAAAAAATGGCAAGGTCTTGTGAATACCGTAGCTCAGTCAATTTTCGAGCGAGCTCGAAAATTTTTGTAGTTTTACATTTTTCAGGTTTTGCGTTTTAAAATGAATATAATCATGACCCACTTCTGGAAAATTCGAAATTTTGACTGTAAAGGCACATGGACCCTCGAAAAACAGAATTTTTTTAAACTAGGTCATGATTATACTCATTTTGAAACATTTATTGAGTAAACTTCAAAAATCTTAAAATTTATAGAATCTGACTAAAATTGGGTGAGATACGGTAGTTTGAATTATCAAGCCTGTTTGGTCTCGCTACCGTAACTCAACCAATACTTGTCAGATTTCGGAAATTTTAATATTTTTGAATTCCGTACGTCAAGAGCTTCAAAATGAGTATAATCATGACCTATGTTGCTCAATTTTGTTTTTTGACTTTAAAGGCGCATGGACCCTCGAAAAAAAGCCAAAATTCAAAATCAAGCGAATTTAGCCGTGTTTAGATTCACTTTAAAGCCAAAAACGCAAAAAATTCAAATTTTTAAGTTTCAAATAGTTAGGTCCAAATCTGAGGAAGTTACGGTATTTTGAAAAATTGGGATTTTTGAACATTTTGTGTTTTTTGACTCATTTTGAAGCTAAAAAGCTTACCTCAGCGCTCTGCTCAAAGCTCTTTCCTCGATCCAACATTTGTTGGTGTACTGTAGAAATGGGCGGAGTCTGTGGTGGAATTTGAAGGGCCGATGATGACGTCGACGGTTGGGACTGCATTTTTTGGGCGGCCAAGAGTGCGGCACGCTGTTGTTGGAGCTGTTGGGCTTCTAGTTCGTTCTAGAAAAAAAAATTTTTGAAAAAAAAATTTGGGATCCAAAATTACCTCAATTTTACTAGTTGAAATCATCGATAGGTACAAATTCATCAAATAGCATAACACTGAATGGGAGTCGAGATGTTCACTATGGAGATCTGTAAAAATAAATATTACTGTAACGTGCCCAGATTCAACTTTCTGAGGTTTTTGGCTTCAAAATGAGCCTAAACACGACTAGGTTTGCTTAATTTCGATTTTTCAATGGTCCATGCGCCTTTAAGGTCAAAAAATGTCAAAAATCGACTTACACCAAAATGGGGCATGATTATACTCATTTTGAATCTCTAATTAAAACAAATCCAAAAATGTTAAAATTTCCAAAATCTGACAAATATTAGTTGGGATACGGTAGCAATACCATAGAAGTTAAAGGATTCAAACTACCGTATCTTAATCAATTTCCGTTCAACTTCAAAAACTTGGATAGTTTTGAGTTTCTCGAGTTTTAAACTTCAAAATGAGCCCAAACACAACCCAATTTGTTGGTTTTCAATTTTTCCGGGGGTCCATGCGCCTTTAAGGTCAAAAAGTGTCAAAAATCGATTTGTTTCAAAGTAGGTCATGAATATACTCATTTTGAAGCACTTCTAAGCCAAATTCAGAACTGTAAAAATTTCCAAAATCGGACAAAATTTGGCTGAGATACGGTAGCAAGACCAAACAAGTTCAATTTTTCAAACCACCGTATTTCAGTCAATTTTTGCCAGATCGCAAACATTTTAAAATTTTCAAGTTGTGCAGGATAGTGGCTACAAAATGAGTATAGCCATGACCTACTTTGAAATTTTTTGAAATTTTCAATTTTTCCGGGCGTTCATGCGCCTTTAAGGTCAAAAAATGTCAAAAATCGATTTTCACCAAAATGAGGCATTATTATATTCATTTTGAAGCTCTAATCTAGCAAAATTCGAAAATAACAAAATTTTTGAAATCTGATTCGAGATACGGTAGCGAGACCTTCGAACCCAAAAATGGCTCGATAATTCAAACTACTGTATCTCAGTCAATTTTTGTTCGATTTCGAAAATTCTAGAAGCTTAGAATTGTGCTCACATAGGGCTTTAAAATAAGTCTAAACACAACAAATTTTGCTCGATTTTGATTTTTTTGAAATTTTTTTTGGGACCATGCGCCTTTAGAGTCAAATTTTCGAAATTGTCCAAAATAGGTCATGATCATGCTTATTTTGGAGCTCTAATCTAGCCAAATTCAAAACTAAAACAATTTCCATAATCTGACAACAACTGGTGGAGATACGGTAGCAAAACCAAAAAGACTCGAATAACTCACAACCGTATCTCACCTTGAGGCAAATTTCATGAATTCTAAAAGTTTTGATTTTTATTTGATGAGTGTTTCAAAATGAGTATAATCATGACCTACTTTCCGAATGTCTAAAAATTTCGAAATTTTGACTTTAAAGGCGCATGGACCATCGAAAAATCAAATCTGGCCGAAATAGGTCGTGTTCAGGCTCATTTTGAAGGTAAAAACGCGGAAAATTCAAATTTAATAATTTTGAAACGGATAGATTGAGTTTAAGAAAGTTAGGAGAAAAAAAATTTAAAAAAATTTTTTTTTTGGAATCAAAACTTCAAAATGCGTTTAGAAATACAAGATTTGAGGATTCTGATAGAAAGACTTAGCAATGTAATATAAAACAGGGACAGGTGTAAACGGTTGGGGAATCGTAGAATAGGGGGTAGGAGGGGTCGTAATAAATGCATAATTACCATTTCGTCCCCCATAAAAATGCCAATAAAATAAGCAAATTCCAATAAATGTCTCTAACACCTGTCCTTTTCTTTAATTGGAAAAAAGTGTAAAATTTTTATTATAAAACAAAAAAAAATCTTAAAAATTGTTACCATCGGACCAATTTTTGTGAAATTTAAAATTTTGAATTTTCGTTTTTTTGCACTTCAAAATAAGCCTAAACACGAGCCATTTCGGTCGATTTCGATTTTTCCGGGGGTCCATGCGCTTTTTTTTTCAAAGTAGGTCATGATTATACTCATTTTGAAGCGCAAAACATAAAAAAATTCAAAACTATAAAAATTTTCAAAATTGCACAAAAATTGACTGAGTTACGGTATTTGCAAGATTTTGTCCAATTTTTGCAGAGACTATATCTCGAGTATTCTTGTGCCAATTCTGAGAAATCTTGAATTTTTGAGTTGCTTATGTTAAGGGCTTTAAAATGAACTTAAACATGACCCATTTTGCTCAATTTTGATTTTTCCTTTTTTCGCGGGTCCATGCGCCTTTAAAGTCCAAAAATCAAAATTGAGCCAAATAGGTCGTGTGAGGGCTCATTTTAAAGCTAAAAACGCAGGAAATTCACATTTTCATATTAAAAATGGGTTCGAGCAACCTCGTTAAAAATATGGGGCAAAAAACCAAGTTTTCAAAATTTTTCCCAAAAAAAAATTTTTTTTCGAAAAATTTCGGATTTTTGCAGAAATGAAAAGCGGAAATGAACCGGAAGAAAAATCCAGTTTTACTAATTTTTTTTTCTTATAGAAGATATACGGAAAAGGAAAAAGGCGCGAAAGAGGTAGGAGAAGAAGATAAGTGATAAGTGATAACATTGGAATTTCTTGTTTCTTCTCGACAATGGTTATTCAGAAAAAAGAAAGAAAAAATGATAGAGACGAAGAGATTTAGAGAAATAGAGGGAAAATGTGTATTTCACACACTTTATTGCCTTTTGTTGACATTTGGGATAAGGAGAAGAGAGGTCAATGGAAAGCAAACATAAAAACAAAAGAAAACCATTGTTAGAGTCATTTTAGGACCAAAATGAGCTAAAAAATCGATTTTTAGAGTTAAAATTAGTCTAGAACAACTTATTGCTAACTAAAATCTACTTTTGAAGAAAATCTAAAATATTCCGAAAAACAATTTTTTTGGAATATTTTCAAAATGTTCCCAAAAACTGATTTTGAACTACTCCTAGACTAAAAGTAGTTGACAAATCCAATTTTTGGGTCAAATTTAGTATAGAACAAGTTTCAGACCATTTTTCTGCCAATTAGTTGACATTTGGAATAAGGAGAGGAAAAGAGAGAGGTCAAACTACTTCCGGGGTACATGAGCATGAAAACAAGAGAAAAGCAGTGTAAGAGTCATTTTAGGGTGAAAATGAGCTGAAAAATCGAATTTTAAAATCAAAATTAGTCTAGAACAATTTTTGCTAGCTAAAATCTACTTTTGTCAAAAATCTATAAAGTTTCAAAAAAAATTTTTTTTTGGGAATTTTCGGTTTTTGAAAAATATCTTCGAAAGTGATTTTTGATCTTTCCTAGGGTGAAAATAAGCTGCAAAATCGAATTCTGATGTCTAAATTAATCTAGAATCAAGTTTGCAAGCTAAAAGCTTCTTTGGCTGAAAATCTAAATTATTCCAAAAAAAAAAATCTTTTGGGAATTTTTAAAACTTTTGAAAGTATCCCCAAAACTGATTTTGGACATGTTCTAGAGTGGAAATACGCTGGAAATTTCGTTTTTCCGGTTAAATTTAGTCTAGAAAAAGTTTAATACCACATTTTGGGGCAATACTTGTGGTAAAAATCTAAAAAACCAAAAAATTCAAAAAAAAATTTTTTTTGGCATATTTTGAAAACGACATCCAAAACTCAATTAAGAGTCATTCTAGGGTAAAAATTTAAAAAAAATTCAATATTTTCAGCAAAAATTTGTCTAGAAACAATCCAAATACCATCTTTCGGGATCTCTTGAAGTATTTTTTGCAATTTTGAAAAAAAAATTTTTTTTTCAAATTTTCAAATTTTTGAAATGCCCAAAAATTATTAAATTTTATTAAATTTTATCAAATTATTTTACTTTTTCAAAGCTCAAATTCTGAAATTTTTGAAAATCAAATTTTCATCAAAATCGAACGAAAACCCAAAAAGTTACGGTAGTTTGAAGTTTTATAGCAAAAAATTAGATTTTTTCAAAAAATTCAAAATTTCCAAAAATCATAACTAGGTCAAAAAAAATGGGAATTCACTGATTTTAGGCTTAAAATATCCTAAATTTTTTGTTTTTCAAGACAATAATGCCTCCAAAATTCTCAAAGTTCTAGAAATTTATAAAAATCCGAAAAAAGTACAGGAAATCCAAAAAAAAAGAGGGAAAAAAGATAAAATCTCGAATAACTAATATCTTTTGACCTCCCATGGACTGATTCTACCTTGAGATACGGGATGAGATAATTGTCAAAAAGACTTTCAAGAGGGACGAGAGAGTACAGAAAAGTGAGAGACGCAGAGAAAAACAAGGAGAAACGGGATGGAGAGAGATAGTTGTACAGGTCATTGCGTGTAATCTGTCTGCGTCTCTCACTCTCGTTGATCTCTCGCTTTTAGAATTGTCAGAGAGTTTTGAAGGGATTGCTCAGCTTAAAAAGCATATAAAAAAATTTCCAGAAAATTCTAGAAAAATCCAGCAAGAATGAGCCATTTTAAACCGGAAATCCTGGATCCTTAACTAAAAGCTGATTTTTTGGCGGGGAAATTGGCTTCTAGGGTAATTCGGACCAAAAAATTTGAAATTTTAAGTCAAAATAAATCTAGAACTAGTTTTTTTCCAGGTTAGTTCTAGCTAAGATTTGTTAAAAATGGTCGAAAAAATTTTTGGTGCCAAAACATTTTTTTTTGGCGAATTTTGATTTTTTTTTCTGATTTAATTTTTAGGACGAAATTCAATTTCTAGAGTAATTTGAACCTAAAAATCTATAATTTTGAGTCAAAATGTGTCTAGAACAAGTTTTCCCATGTTATTTCAAGCTAAAAATTGCTGAAAATGGTCGAAAAAATTTTTGGTGCCAAAACATTTTTTTGGCGATTTTTGTTATTCAATTTTGAGGACGAAAATCGATTTCTAGAGTAATTTGGACAAGAAAATTTGAAATTTTGAATAGAAATTTGCCTAGAACAAGTTTTTTGCTTGCATTTTGAGCTAAATTTGGCTAAAAATGATCCCAAAATTGTTGCCGCCAAAAAATTTTTTTGACGATTTTTGATTTTTTTTAAATTTAATTTTTTGACAACGAAATGAATTTTTAGAGTAATTCGAGTTTAAAAATCTGGAATTTTGAGTTGAAATTTGCCTAGAACAAGTTTTTTGCAGGCATTTTAAGCTAAATTTCGCTAAAAATGGTCCAATGTGAAAAAATCTGTCGATTTTTCGTTTTTTTTTTGTTATTTTTCAGAGATTAGAGACGCAGAGAAAAATACAGAAAAACCCAGAAATCTACAATTTTTCATCCTATTTTTGATTTATAATTGGATTATAGGATTTGAGGGGATTTTGCCAAATTTTAGCCAAAAATAACATAATCGGAGAATCAGATTTTCGTATCAATTTTTAGCCCTAGCAAGCCCAAATTATCCAGAAAAATTTGAAAAAAAAACAAACCTTTGGGATTCAAAAGTCTCGGAACGTTCCAGGTCTTTTCAGCTACCGAAAACGCGTTCTCAATCCGATCGATGGCACTCATTTCGGCGGTTTTCGAGAGATTTATGAGTTTTTTGCTGGAAAAAATTAGTTTAAAAGTTTTTAACACACATTTTTGAATTTCCCGCATTGAGAGCTTTAAAATGAACCCAAACACGACCTATTTTGGACAATTTTGATTTTTCGAGGGTCCATGCGTCTTTAAAGTCAAAAAATGGAAATTTTCAAAATAGGTCATGATTATACTCATTTTGAAGCGCAAAACATAAAAAATCTAAAACTACAAAACTTTTTCAAATTGCTCTAAAATGGACAGAGTTACGGTATTCACAAGTTTTTGTCATTTTTTGCTGAAATTTTGAAATTGCCGTATCTTGAGCACTTTTAAGCCAAAGCGACTGAAAATTGAACTTTACGATTTCTGAAATAAAGAGCTTCAAAATGAGCCCAAACACGACATATTTTGGTCAATTTCGATTTTTCGAGGGTCCATGCGCCTTTAAAGTCAAATTTTCGAAAGTTTTGGAACTAGGTCATTATTATACTTATTTGAAAGCTCTCAAAGTGTAAAATTCAGATCTATTCAAATTTTTGAAATCAGACAACAATTGGGTGAGATCTGGCTCAAATTACGGTGGTTTGAATTTTTGAGCACAAACTATAAACTACCATACCTTGACCAATGTTGATGCAATTCTGAAAATTTCTACACTTTTGAATTTGTCTTGATGTGCGCTTCAAAATGAGCCCAAACACAACCTATTTTACTCAATTTCGATTTTTGACTTTAAAGGCGCATGGACCCTCGAAAAAACCAAAGTCAACCAAAATGGGTCGTGTTTGGGCTCATTTTGAAGCTCAAAACGCGGGAAGTTCAAAAATTTAGATTAAAATTTGAAAAAAAAACTCACTCATACGAATGTATGAGGTAATTGAAGGCGTGACCATCACGAAACGATGATGTGAAATCGTAAACGTCAATTTCCTCATAAGACCTCATCACCTCGATGCACCATTGCTTGATCGCCTCGGAGAGCTGAAATTTTAAAAATTTTGGCTGAAAATTGCCCTAAAATTGAGGTAAAATGAGCAGAATTAGCCTAAATCCGGTAAAAATGGCCAAAATTTCAATTTGGTCCATTTTTAGCCATTTTCAGCTGAAAATTACCGGGAAAAACTTGTTCTAGAAAAATATTGACTCAAAATTTCAGATTTTCAAATTTAAATCACTATAGAAATTGATTTTCGCCCTCAAAATTGGATCAGAAATTGATCAAAGTTGCCAAAAGATTATTTTTGACATCAAAAATTTTGGGAACTATTTTCAGCCAATTGTATCTCAAAATAATCCCCAAAAAACTTGTTCTAGACCAATTTTGACTTGAAATTTCAGATTTTTAGGTTTTAATTACTTAAAAAATCGATTTTCATACTCAAAATTGGATCAGAAATAAATCAAAAAATGCCAAAATATTTTTTGGCATCAAAATACTTTGGAACTATTTTCAGCCAATTTTAGCTCAAAATAACGCCGCAAAAATTTTTCCTAGGTAAATTCTGACTCACAATTTTATATTTCCATGTTTCAATCACTCTAGAAATCGATTTTTGTCTCAAAAATCCTTTAAAATACATCAAAATCGCCTAAAAACAATTTTTGGCACTAAAAATTTTGGGAACCATTTTCAGCCAATTTTAGCTTGAAATGACCCGGAAAAAACTTTTCTAGACTGATTTTAACACGAAATTTCAGATTTTCAGGTTTATATTACTCTAGAAATTGATTTTCCCACCTAAAAACCCAACTTTTCTTATTAGAATTCAAAATGGTTCATTTTCAACGGTTTTTAGTTTAAAATGGTTCATTTTTAGCCAATTTTAGCACAAAATGGCTCAAAATGTTCACCTTTTCTTCTCGGAGCTGCTGTGGTGCATGATTTCTCCAGTAGAATTGAACCAGCTGCCACCATGCTGATAACACGGCCTTCTGTTGTCCGTCCATCACTTCCTGGGGGTTGGTTTTCGAATCGCCCACATATTGAAGAATATTCGGCCAATCATCAGACGGATTGCCCAAAACGGCCATCGTTTGACCAATAATTGCCTGATAGACAAAAATTGCGTTTGAACCATCCTGAAGACTTTTGTGGTCCGTCAAACGTTCGGTGTCCAACAGGTGATTCGCCCAGCGGATGAACACTTGCTCCTGGAGCTCGTACTTCTCTTCTGGAAAATGCAATTTTTTTGAAAAATAGCTCAAATTAAAGATGAGGACTTGGAGATTTTAGGACATTTTTCGAATTTCAAAAATATTGATTTTCAGCCAAGTTACGGTATTTTGAAAATTTCAGGTCCAAAAATTTTTTTTTTCAAATTTTCAAAAATTACAGAGGACCATAACTTGGCTGAAAATCCACATCTTTAAGATTTTCAAAGTGTTCCAGAATTCGAAATTCTTGAATTTTTAGAAAATTTAAAATTCAAGTTTTCAGATTTCTCGAAATTCTCACCACGATCGCTTTTCTTATCCTTCTTCTCGTCCTTCTTCGGCTTGGCTGTTGAGGCGCCGGAGAACAGCATTTTTTGTAGTTTGTAGTCGTTCGCTCTATTCTAAAAGTTTGGTCCGCTGATTGACATCTGAAAATCTAGTTTTTTTTTTTGAAAAATTTTGAAAAAACTGTTGCGTGGGAAGATTTTCTAAAAATCTTAATTTTCAAAAAAAATGGACAAAATGCAAGCTTCAAAAACAAGTGTGTCAGAATCTGTGAGTTTTTTTGCTCGAAGTTTTGGGGGAAAATTTTGAAAAAACTGTTGCGTGGGAAGATTTTCTAAAAATCTTAATTTTCAAAAAAAATGGACAAAATGCAAGCTTCAAAAACAAGTGTGTCAGAATCTGTGAGTTTTTTTGCTCGAAGTTTTGGGGGAAAATTTTGAAAAAAATCGGAAAAAATCGAAAAAAAATTTTTGGTCCTAAACTTTTTGATTCCAAAAATTCAAAGGACCATAACTTGGACCAAAATTGAAATTTTTAAAATTTTAACAACATTTTTCAATTCAGCTTTTTAAGAGCTTCAAAATGAGCATAATCATGACCTATTTCGATAAAAATCGATTTTTGACTTTAAAGGCGCATGCACCCGAAAATTTTTAAAAAATTCAAAATTGACCAAAACAGGTCGTGTTTGGGCTCATTTTGAAGCTCTTAACCTGATAACTTCAAATTTTTAGAGTTCAATATCCCCAGATGCGCAGAAATCCCAAAAATCGTCATCAGAAGAATCTCAAATTTTTACAAAATGCGTGAATGACGACTCTAATGGGAGTATTTTATCAAATTGGATGGATTCAGATGTGGAAGAATCGATGAGTCAAATTTTGAAATTCAAAGAACTGGTCCAGAAGTCGTCAGACTATTTGATTCAGGAAAAAGAGGCGGAGCTTCGAGAAGTGAACTCTGAATATGCTTTTGATATTCGTAACTTTTGAGAGAATGAATTTTTGTATAAGATTTGAAGAAGTTTGAATTTCTAAGAGTGAGAGTTTCAAAATGAGTATAAACAAGACATATTTTCAAAAAAAAATGTTTTTGGGTGAAATCTGGAGAAGAAGAAGAAGAAAATCTAGAAAAAAAAAGGATTTTTCAAGAATTCAGAAATTGGAATCTTTCTGGAAGTTCTTTCATCGGAATACGCATGTCAAGAGCGTTAAAATAAGCCTACGCATGACCTACTTTCTAAAAGTTAATTTTTCGGCAAAATCTGAAGAATCCCCAAAAATCGAAAATCCTCAAACTAGATCATGATTATATTCATTTTGAAGCTCTCAGCCGAACAAATTCATTAGTTTTTGTTTCAAGTGATAGAAATCAAAACTAGAGATGTTATGCTCTTCTCCATATTTCAATTTGCAAGAATTGAAAATTTTGGAAAAATAAGGATTTTTCAAGAATCCAGAAAGTGGAATCTTTTTGGAAATTTCTGGATCAGATACAGCTTGTCAAGATCTTCAAAACGAGTATAAACATGCCCTAATTTTTGAAAATTTTGATTTTTGGGTAAATCTGGAGAAGAAGAATCCCCAAAAATCGAAAATTCTCAAACTAGGTCATGATTATATTCATTTTGAAGCTCAAGACAAATTCATTAATCCAAGTTCCAGTGGATACAAATTAAATCAAAATTAGAGGTTTCAAGCTCTTCTCCATATTTCGAACTGCAAAAACTCAAAAACTTGGACGGAAAAGAAATTTACAAGAATCTCAGAATTAGAATCTTTCTGGATGTTACTGGAGCAGAATCAACTTGTCGAGGACTTCAAAATAAGCCTAATCATGACCTAATTTTCAGAATTTGGAGTTTTCTGTGAAATCTGGAGAAGAAGAAGACCCAAAAAATGAAATTTTTCAAACTAGGTCATGATTATACTCATTTTGAAGCTCTTGACTAGGCAAATTCATTGGTCTAGACTTGAGTCGATGGAAATGAAAATTAGAGGTTTTAGGCTCTCCTCCGTATTTAGGGAACCTAGAACCCTAACTCCAATCTAAAAGGTGGGAGGTAAAAAAAGTTGCAAAGATGTCAGGATGTGTGCAAATCATAGTTGTGTTCTCTAGTCTAGAGAGGATTAGAGAAAAAAAGAGTATAAGAAGAAGAAGAAGGACCCGTCCGGGAGCACTCCCGCCCGTCGGCGGCCCGTCAGCTGCCGAATGTCCCGTCAACTGTTACAATGTGTGATTCTTCTTCTTCTTCTTCTTCTCCCTCGATCGGACATTTTCTACCACTATGCCTATGCTCTTCTTCTTCTTCTTCTTCTTTCCCGTATCTTCTTCTTCTTATTGCCAATCGGATGTAAGGATTAGAAAAAGAATAAGAAGAAGAAGAGAATGAATTGGGTGATAAAATTTCCTCGGGAAAAGAAAATTAATGGGGGATTTTAGAAATTGGATGGAACACTTTTTGTGGGAAGAAATAAACAATAGGATTTGAAAAAAAGAGACCAAAAGATTTTCAGGGAATTTGAATCTTTTTGGAGCTTTCTAAATCAGAATAAGCTTGACAAGAGCTTCAAAATGAGCCTAAACATAACACACTTTCTGAAAATTAGAATTTTGAGGGGTCTTCTGGAGAAAGAAGTAGAAGAAGAAGAAGAAGAAGAAGAAGAAGAAGAAGAAGAATTTTCTAGAGTTGAGAGAAATGGAATCTTTTTGGTAGTTACTGAATCAAAACCAGCTAGTCCAGAGTTTTAAAACAAGCCTAAACATGACCTACTTTCCAGAATTTTGAGTTTTCGATAAAATCTGGAGAAGAAGAAGACCCAAAAATTGAAAATTTTCAAACTCGGTCATGATTATACTCATTTTGAAGCTCTTGACTAGACAAATTGAATGGTCTAGGTTTCAGCTAGTAAAAATCAAAATTGGCAATTTTAAGCTCAAAAAAATAATATAGAAAAAATTATTCAAAAAATTTTTAAAAAGTTTCAAAAAGTTCCAGAAAAAATTTTTTCACCCAAAAAAATTAAAATGACTATAACTTTTCTAGTTTTCAACCGATTTCTATGATTTTGCTATCAAAATGCGTATTTTAAACTGAAAATTTGGAAAATGGTGTGCATTTTAAGCCTAAAATCTAGAAAAACGGTCAAAAATAGACTGAAATCTGAAACTTCGAAATTTTTTCAAAATTTTTTTTCTAGATCCCAAAAATTTGAGCTAAAAATTGATTTTCCAAAAATGAGGAATTTTCAAGAATCTAGAAATTGGATTTTTTTGGATGTTTCTGAATCAGAACAAACTTGTTTTGGGCTTCAAAATGAGACTAAACACGACCTACTTTCGTAAAATTTCGATTTTCGGTAAATCTGGAGAAGAAGAAGACCCAAAAATTCTCAAACTAGGTCATGATTATACTCAATTCAAAGCTCTCAACAAGACAAACACATTGGTTTAAATTTTAGTAGATACAAATTAAAATTAAAGGTTCTAGGATCTTCTCCGTGTGACGATGCACTATATCATTTTGCTCTTCTTCGGGATTTGGTCGTTTTCTGAAAACTTGAGCAAATTTTGAGATTACATTTTTATGTCATCTGAAAGCCCATAAAATTCCCTAAATTTTGATATACTTCATTTTATGCTAAATAAATTTTGGAAAAAGTTATGCGCCTTTAAACTTTTCGTATTCTCAAAAAATCGAAAGCATGCATTTTTATAGTCCCTTGGCTCATTTTTTCCCCAATTTTTTTCTAAAAAATAAGACATGAATAAAATATAGTTTACAGGCACTTCAGGAAGAAAAAAATATATAGGTAGACCGTGTGAATTTTTTTTTTCGGAATTATAATAATAGGAATTTCGGGGTACCAGGAGGTTGAGTACCAGGTACTGTTAGAAAAATGTGAATAAAATAGATCAAAAATTACAAAAATTAGGAAATTTTGAGATAAAAATTCAAACAAATAATATAGAAAAAATTGTTCAAAAAATTTTTTAAAAGTTTCAAAAAATTCCAGAAAAAATTTTTTCACCCAAAAAATTTAAATGATCATAACTTTTTCAGTTTTCAACCGATTTTTATGATTTTGCTATCAAAATGTGTATTTTAAACTGATAATTTGGAAAATTGTGTGCATTTTAAACCTAAAATCTAGAAAAACGGTCAAAAATTGACTGAAATCTGAAATTTTGAAAAAATATTCGAAAAATTTTTGATCCCAAAAATTTCAAATGATCATAACTTTTTCAGTTTTCAACCGATTTTTATGATTTTGCTATCAAAATGTGTATTTTAAACTGATAATTTGGAAAATTGTGTGCATTTTAAACCTAAAATCTAGAAAAACGGTCAAAAATTGACTGAAATCTGAAATTTTGAAAAAATATTCGAAAAATTTTTGATCCCAAAAATTTCAAATGATCATAACTTTTTCAGTTTTCAACCGATTTTTATGATTTTGCTATCAAAATGTGTATTTTAAACTGATAATTTGGAAAATTGTGTGCATTTTAAACCTAAAATCTAGAAAAACGGTCAAAAATTGACTGAAATCTGAAACTTCGAAATTTAAAAAAAAATTTTTTTTCTAGATCCCAAAAATTTCAAATGGTCATAACTTTTCTAGTTTTCCATCGATTTCTATGATTTTGCTATTGAAATGTGTATTATAAACTGAAAATTTTGAAAATTGTGTGCATTTTAAGCCTAAAATCTAGAAAAACGGTCAAAAATAGACTGAAATCTGAAATTTTGAAAAAAAGTTCCAGAAAAAATCCAAAACTTTTTTTATTCCAAATAAAAAAAATCGAATGAAAAATCGAGTTCAAAAACCACTCTGAAATCTTCACAAAATTTGATTTTTTCTGAAAATTTCAGATTTTTCAGCCAAAGTGCATATCGATTGTCTCCATGGCGAGCTCGTCTTGGAGAAGTTGATTGACGCGCTGAAAAAAAGAGCATTTTAGGGGTTTAGGAGTGAATTTGGGGTTAAATTAGTGTGAAAAATCGATTTTTCAAGTCAAAATTAGTCTTAAATGAAGTTTAAGACTCAATGGCCAAAAAATTGAAAAATGACAAAAAATGAAAATTTTGAAAATGATGAAAAAATTTTTACAAACTTGTAAAATTGTCATTTTTGAGATCAAAAAAGTCATTTTCAAGTCAAAATGTTACGAAAAATCGATTTTTAAAATCAGAATTAGTCTAGGACAAACTTTTAGAGGCGAAAATGGACAAAAAAGGCTGAAAAACCAAAGTTTCTCTCAGAATCCATCATTTTCGAGCAATTTTGGCTCAAAATGGCTCAAAATATGCCAATTTTTCTGGGAATTTCCAGAACATTCCAGAATTCTTACCAATCCAGCAGTTGGAAGATATTTCTGAATAGCGGCAAACGTTGACGGTGAAAATGAGCCGCGTAGCACTTTCAACAGTTGAGTGGTCTCTCCAGTGAGGGCGATTGCATTGGACATGTGCATTGCGCCGAGTTCCAAGGTTTCAGCTGGAAAATTGAGCAAAAATTTGAAAAATCAACAAATTTAACGCGTTTTGAGCCTAAAATAATAAAAATCGGTCAAAAATTGATTGAAATACAAAGTTTTGAAAAAATCGGAAAAAAAATATTTTTTGGTCCCGAAATTTTAAAATCATCATAACTTCTTTAGTTTTCTACTGATTTTTATGAATCAAATTGCAAAATGTGTGTTTTAATCTGAAAATTTGGAAAATTCAACGCATTTTAAGCCGAAAATCACAGAAACTGGTGGAAAATCGACTGAATTCTGAATCTTCCAAAATTTTGATTCCAAAAATTTCAAATCATCATAACTATTTTCATTTTACACTTATCTTTATGATTTAGCCATCAAAATGTTTATTTTAAACAAAAAAATTGAAAAATTTAACGCATTTTAAGCTTAAAATAATAAAAATCGGTCAAAAATTGATTGAAATACAAAGTTTTGAAAAAATCGGAAAAAAATATTTTTTGGTCCCGAAATTTTAAAATCATCATAACTTCTTTAGTTTTCTACTGATTTTCATGAATCAAGTTGCAAAATGTGTGTTTTAATCTGAAAATTTGGAAAAATTCAACGCATTTTGAGCCTAAAATCTTGAAATTCGGTCGAAAATTAGCTGAAATCTGAAATTTTGAAAAACGAAAAAAACAATTTTATTCCAAAACTTTAGATTATCATACTTTGTTAGTTTTTTTAACCAATTTTTATGATTTTGCTATTAAAATGTGTACTTTAAGCTGAAATTTTAAGAAATGTGACACATTTTAAGCTTAAAATAATGAAAATTGGTCAAAAATGGACTGAAGTCTGAAAAAGTTTAAAAATTCGAGAAAAATTTTTTTGACCCTAAAAATTTAATAGTCACAACTTTTCAAATTTTCAACCGATTTTTAAAATTTTGCTATTGAAATGTGTGTTTTAATCTGAAAATTTGGAAAATTCAACGCATTTTAAGCCGAAGATCACAGAAATTGGTGGAAAATCGACTGAATTCTGAATCTTCCAAAATTTTGATTCCAAAAATTTCAAATCATCATAACTATTTTCATTTTACACTTATCTTTATGATTTAGTCATTAAAATGTTTGTTTTAAACAGAAAATTTGAAAAATTTAATGCATTTTAAGTCTAAGATTATGAAAATTGGTCAAAAATGGACTGAAATCTAAAATTTTGAAAAATCGAAAAAAAAAATTTTTTATTCCAAAATTTCAAATAATAGCTTTTTGAGTTTTTATCCGATTTTGATGATTTTAAGTTCAAAATGTTAGGCTTGTCCTATTTTCTAAAATCATTAAATATTTTCAAAAAATTCGAAATTTTCAGAATCCTTACAGTCCTCCAAATACGCTTCTCCCATGTCCATTTGCTCAGTGAACAGCTTCTCGCAAACTCGACGAACGTTTTCATCTTCGAAATTGAAAATGTCCATGGTCTCTTTTCCGGCTCCAGTTCTCTTCTCTCCAGATGTAGCGTCAGAAGCAGAAGCACCAGATTCAGAAGACGTCGGTGGCACTTCAGAAGGCATCGGAGCTCCAGAAACTCCCAAATCCTTCTTCGGGCGCCAATAGAAATAGTAGATCACCGCGAGCAATGTCGCTCCACCGAGAATTGCGGTCGTACAGAAATATGGGCAGCGAAATGGGCGGTGCATATTTGAAGAGATTGGGCGGGAAATTCAAAAATTCAAAAAATTTTGGAACTGAAATTTTTCAGCATTTTCAATTTCCAGCTGCCAAGTGGTTTGGCTGCTTTTGGGATGCGTGGCAAATAGGTGGAAAAGAAGCAAGGTGGATGATTGGGAACCTAGAAAGTTTTGGAAAAAAATGGTCACGCGGGAAATTTGAAATTTTTGGAAATTTCAAAATTTCAGATTTCAGTCTATTTTTGACCAATTTTCAAGGTTTTAGGCTTAAAATGCGTTACATTTTCTAAATTTTCAGCTTAAAACACATATTTTGATAGCAAAATCATGAAAATTGCATGGAAACTAAAAAAGTTATGATGGTTTGAAAATTTTGGGATCAACATTTTTTTCTGGAAATTTTTCAAAATTTCAGATTTCGGTCAATTTTTGGCCAATTTTCAAGAATTCTAGCTTGAAGTGCGTCAAATTTTTCAAATTTTCAGCCAAAAATACACATTTTGATAGCAAAATCATCAAAATCGGAGAAAAATTTGAAAAGTTATGATGATTTGAAACTTTTAGAGTCCCCAAAAAATTTTCCTAATTTTTCAGATTTTCAGATTTCAGTCAATTTTTGACCGATTTTCAAGATCTTAGGCTCAAATTACGCCAAATTTTTTCGAATTTCTTACTAAATGTATTTCTGGTTAGAAATTTCTTTTTAAAAAATCCAAAAAAATCCAATTTTCTACAGTAAGCCCCATCCTCGGATCCTGGATCCGAATTCGGAAACTACAGTAATCCCAAACTGCAAAAACTTCTCGAAATTTCAAAAAAAAATCGTTTCTCTATTTCTCTGCGTCTCTCATATCTATTCATATGCATATTTTGTTGATCATTAGCCCCTCCACCTCACCCCAACTAGCACAAAATAGGCTCCGCCCCCTTTTTCAAGGCTCCGCCCACTTTTATTCAAATTCGACCCATATAAAAGGGGACGCCCAGAATTCATTGGAAATCATCGGAATTTCTCGAAATTTCTAGAAAAATCTGGAAAAGAGAATGAACGCTCAAATGTTCAATATGGCACGCCGCTTCGTCTCGTCTGACTCCACTTCTCAGGTTTGTAGCTCGGTTTTCAGGGGTCCAGAATCTTCAAAAAGTAATTTTGTATACATAAAAAGATTCTAGAAAAATTTTCAGTGATTTTAAGTCAAAATTCATTAAAATTGGACTATTTTAAGCTATTTTAGAGTCAAAAACTGAAAATTGTAAATATTTTTGAAAATTCCAAAATTTTCAAACTACTGTATCTCGGTCAATTTTGAAGATTTTTTGACTTTGTTTTTTGCATTCTATGTAAAACTATCTGAAATTTCAAAATTTTCAAGTACTTTCAATCTGAAAATGAGCGAAAACGAACAAAAACTGGCTGAAATACGGTATTTGGTAATTTCCAAGATGTTGAAGTTACCAACACCCGTTTTTCAGCCAGTTGAAGTCATTCGGACACAGATTTTTTATAGATAATGAAATTGAATTGAAATTTAAATTTTCAGGTTAATTTTGAGCTAAAAAAGCAAAATTCAAATGAAAATTCAAATTTTTTTTTTTTGAAACATTTCAAATGACCGTATCTCAGTCAGTTTTGGTCAATTTCAACTGTTTTTAGGCTTAAGATAATTTTGAAATTTCGGAATTTCAGATTTTATAAGAATCAAATAAAAAACTGCTAAAAATTGTCGAAAAAATGCCCAGAATCTAGGTTTTTGAATCTCCAAAATTTTTTGATCCCAAAAAATTTCAAATTGTCATATCTCAGCTAGTTTTAGGCCGATTTTGTTGGATTTTGGCTTAAAATGATTCTGAATTTCTGAATTTTTAGATTATTCTTAACTCAAACAAAAAAAACTGCTGAAATCTACCAAAAATCGTTTAAAACTCAAAATTTTAGATTTCCAGTTTTTTTTAAATCCCAAAAAATTTCAAATGACCATATCTCAGCTAGTTTTAGGCCGATTTTGTTGGATTTTGGCTTAAAATGATTCTGAAATTTTGCATTTTTAGATTATTTCTAACTCAAACAAAAAAAAACTGCTGAAATCTACCAAAAATCGTTTAAAACTCAAAATTTTAGATTTCCAGTTTTTTTAAATCCCAAAATTCCAAATTACCATATCTCAGCTAGTTTTAGGCCGATTTTGTTGGATTTTGGCTTAAAATGATTCTGAAATTTTGCATTTTTAGATTATTGTTAATTCAAACAAAAAAAAACTAGCTGGAAATTCACAAAAATAGCAAAAAATCCAACTTTACGAATCTCTAATTATTTTTTGTTTCAAAAATTTCAAATGACCGTACCTCAGTTAATTTTTGTCAGGTTTAGCTGGTTTAAAGCTTAAAATAACTGGAAGTTTCCAAATTTTAAGATTCAATTTAATTCAAACAGAAAAACTGCTAAGAATTGACCAAAAATGGCTTAAAAGTTGAATTCTTCGAGATTCAAAATGTTAGATTCCAAAAATTTCAAATGACTGTATCTCTGCTAATTTCAGGCCGATTTTGTTGGATTTTTGGCTTAAAATGATTTCAGATTTTTGAATTTCAAGACATTACATGAATCAAACAAAAAAGCTGCTGAAAATTGACCAAAAATCGCCAAAAATCCAAATTTTTGAATCTCGAATTATTTTTTGTTTCAAAAATTTTAAATGACTATATTTTAGTTAGTTTTGGGCCAATTTTGACAATGTTTAGCTTAAAATGACTATGAGAACCTGAATTTTCTTTTTTTCACCTCAAAATACATGTTTTTCCAGATGATCCTGGCAAATCTAACGTTCGGAAACATGCGTTCCAGTGGTACTCCATTGATCTTGGTCCCCGGACTTTTTGGAACAAAAGAAAACTGGATTCGTGTGGGAAAGGAATTGTCCCAACGTCTCGGATGTATGGTATTCGCGGTGGAGAATCGGAATCATGGGGGCAGTTCGATGGCACGTCAATGACATATCCAGAAATGGCTGATGATTTGGTTGGATTCATCGATTGGGTTCGGAAGATCACTGGAGAGAAACAAGTGAATTTACATGGGCATTCGATGGGCGGGAAAACGGTTGCACAGTTGGCAACCACTCCTGAATATGCTCCAAAAATCAAGAATCTGATTGTCGAGGATATGAGTCCATTGGGTTATCCGTTGAAGAGAGCTGGTGAGTAGAATATGGTCCATTTCGAGGAAAATCGATTAGGAAGACATTGATTTTTGATAATTTCAGACTCCCACGGTCATTTTAAGTCTTAAATCTCTAAAAATTGACAACAAAAAAAGCTAAGATATGGTCTTTTGAAATTTTGGGGATTAAAAAGTTTGGAAATTCAAAGATTCTGAGTTTTAAACGATTTTCGGTCAATTTCTAGCAGTTTTTCAGCTTTGAATCATCAAACTTCTTAAAATGCAAATTTTTGAGGTTATTTTGAGGTAAAAACCAACAAAAACGAACCAAAAATAGCTGAGATACGGTCATTTGGAGTTTTGGGTTTCAAAACGATTTTTGGTCGATTTTTAGCAGCTCTTGCTTGAGTCAACAAAAATCCTGAAATCCAAAACTTTGGAATCATTTTGAGCTAAAAACCAGCAAAAACGGACGAAAACTAGCTGAGATTCGGTCATTTGAAACTTTTGGAATCAAAAATTGTTGAGATTCGAAATTTTGGGTTTTAACCGTTTTTTGACAACCTTTAACAGCTTTTTTGTATACAAATTTTTGCAAATCCTAAAATCCGAAATTTCAGAATTATTTTAAGCCAAAAACCAGCGAAAACGGACGAAAACTGACTGAGATAAAGTAGTTAGACATTTTTGGAATCTAAAAAATTCGAAAATTAGAAAATCTAGGTCAAGACCTAGTTTTTTCTAGGTCGTGACCTAGTTTTTTCTAGGTCGTGACCTAATTTTTTCTAGGTCAAGACCTAGTTTTTTCTAGGTCAAGACCTAGTTTTTTCTAGGTCATGACCTAGTTTTTTCTAGGTCAAGACCTAGTTTTTTCTAGGTCATGACCTAGTTTTTTCTAGGTCAAGACCTAGTTTTTTCTAGGTCAAGACCTAGTTTTTTCTTTCTAGGTCAAGACCTAGTTTTACCTTTATGAGCTCTCAAAATACTCGGACTGCATCAAGTCTAGATTAGGGACCCCAGGGTTACTGTAGTTCGAGCTACAAAGTCTTTCAGGTTCTCAGACCCCTAACTTGGTTAATTTTTGCTCAATTTTCTAGGTTTTCGGCTTATTTTTAAGCTTGAAAAACGCCCAACTCAGAAATATGAACTTCAGAATACTTGGACTGCATCAAACACATGATTGCCACTGATATGAACAAGACTCGTGATGAGGTGTTGGCGGAACTCGGGGAGAAGGTCTCAAAAGTGCTTCTCTATCAATTCGTTCGCGGAAATTTGGGTGAAGATGTCAATGGAAAAGCCCAGTGGACGTGTAATTTGAATGTGATCGATGAGACATACATCTATCTTCTCTCACATGACATTCGTTTCGGTGTCTTCGATGGACCAACGCTTTTCCAACGAGCCTCGGGCTCTGGATTCCTTCCAGCTGCTCACAAGAATCGCGTGAAGAAGATGTTCCCGATGGTGGGTTTTCTGGGTCATTTTGAGCCAAAAAACGGTTGGAAATGAGATATTTTAAGGTTTAGAACGTTAAAAATGAGTTTAGCACCTCCTAGACGTGATTTTAATTGATTTTTGCATTGGAGCGCGTTTACTGACTTTTGCTTTTCGAAAATTCGAAAAAACACTAACATTTTGAGCCATTTTGAGTTAAAAATGATTGAAAATGAGCTATTTAAAGATTTAGAACGTTAAAAATGAGTTTATCACCTCCTAGACGGGATTTTAACTAATTTTTGCATTGGAGCGCGTTTTTTGATCGTTGGTATTTGAAATTTCAAGTAAATCCTAAAATTTCGAGTTATTTTGAGCCAAAAACGGTCGAAAATAAGCTAATTTGAGGCATTTTTCATTCCAAATGACATTTTCGCATTGGAGCGCGTTTGCTGACTTTTGCTTGTCAAAAATTCTGGAAAACCCCAAATTTAAAGCAATTTTAAGCAAAAAAAAATGATAGAAAATGAGCGTTTTAAAGCATTTTCGGTTGAAAACAAGATTTTAGCAATAGAGCGCGTTTGCTGACTTTTGCTATTTAAAAAGTTAAGTTAGTATTCAAGCTCAAATTTTAAGCTTTTCAACTATTCTAAGCAAAAAAATTGTCGAAAATTATTGATTTTAAAGCATTTTCGGCGAAAAACAAAAATTTTAGCATTGGAGCGCACTTTCAGACCCAAAAAATGCAAATTTTCCAGGTGAAATTCGCTGAAACCGCCTGGTCGAATCACTGGATTCACGCCGATGATCCGAAATTCTTTGTCGACTCGATTTGCGACTTTTTGGAAGAGCCAAAGGAGTTGGGTGGACTTGGACAGACTTTGGGAATTTGATGTTTTCGGTTTTTTGTTGGAAAAATAGCTTAAATTATAGATTTTTTCGGTTTTTATGCAATAAATTGATATTTTCTGGCTGAAAATGAGCAATTCTTTGTGCCTCAAATTTCCCAAAATCTTGACCAGAAATCATGAAAATCCTAACAAAATGAGCCAAGTTAGAGCACTTTGAGTTTGATGGCATAGGAATTGGAGGTTTTTGGGATTTCTAGGCAACAAATTTTATTTTTGTTTGAAACAACTGAAACTCTTGAATTCAGCATGTCAAGAGCTTTAAAATGAGCCTAAACACGGCACACATTGGTGAAATTCAATTTTTGACTTTAAAGGCGCAGGACCCCCTTGGAAAAATCGAAAAAATCGATTTTCACCAAAATCGATAGTGTTTGGGCTCATTTTGAAGCTCATAACAAAATAAACACTTTGGTTTGATTTTCATCGAACTCGGGCAAAAATGAAGAGAGTTACGGTAGATTAAATTTTCAGAGTGGCCGGTCCCACCACGAAAACTTTTTAAAAAATTGGCCAATTTAGGTCATGTTTGGGCTCATTTTGAAGCTCATAGAAAAACAAACTCAATGAAAACGATGCGAATGAGTTTATTGATCAATGGGAAAGAGAAAAATAGGTACAATCTTGGGTCCAACATCAGTGAAATCTTCTACCATGGATAGCATTCGCCGGGACACGATTGAAGGATCGTTTCGAAACGGGCGGTTTCGACAGACATGAGTACAGTATACGTTGTCAGTTTATTCAAATTGGTTCTCGATGAGAGAACATTGAATACTCCTTGGAATCCCGCGTTCTTTTGGCTCAATTTGTCCATACAACGGTCTCCTGGCGTGTCACGATCGTCCAAGTACAAATCCTGGGTTCAAATTATGCATTTTTTGAATTTGAACTTGCATTTTATTGTTTTAAATTTAATTTTAAGCATTTTCCCGCAACAATGATCAAAATGCGACCAAAATGAGCCGAGTTAGAGCACTTTGACTTTGATGGCCTAGAAATTTGAAGTTTTCTAGATTTCTAGGCCATAACTTATAATTTTGTTCAAAATCATTTCAATTTTTGAATTAGGCTAGTTGAGAGCTTTGAAATGAGCCTAAACATGACTTATATCGGTTACAATCGATTTTTGACTTTAAAGGCACATGACCCCCTTAGAAAAATCGAAAAAATCGATTTTCACCAAAATCAATGGTGTTTAGGCTCATTTTGAAGCTCATGACAAAATACGAATGTTGGTGAAATTCTTATCAAACGCGGACAAAAATGAAAAGAATTACGGTAGTTTGAATTTTCGGAGTGGTTGGTCCCACCACGAAAACTTTTTAAAAAATTAACCAATTCAGGTCATGTTTGGGCTCATTTTGAAGCCCTCAACGTTCTCTGTTCAAATTACAACTTTTTAATTACCGTACCTCTTGTCCCTGATCATAATTGGTCTCCAAAAGGTACCATCCATTCTTAGCGTCAGCCAATTCAGTGAGAAGGGCGGTTCCGTTGAGCGAACGAGCAATGATGCATCCCTCGTTCTTCTTGGATCCTCCCAAAATGTAATAAACTGGCGAGAGCATTGGGGTGTTCATCAAGTGCTCCTTGGCATCCAAATAGGCTGGAAATTTGGGAATTGAAGTAAAAAATCATAAAAATCGGCCCAGAACTGGCTGAGTTACGTCAATTTGCATTTAATGGTCTAGATTTTACTACAGGAGGATTTCTAGGTCACCAATTTACTATTTTTGGATCTAACATGTTACGAGCTTCAAAATGAGCCCACACTCAACCGATACATTTTTTCATGATCTACAAAAAGAGCCTAAACACCATCAATTTTGGTTGAAATCGATTTTTTCGATTTTTCAAGTTGGGTCCTGCGAATTTAAAGTCAAAAATCGAAATTCTCCAAATTGGGTCGTGTTTATACTCATTTTGAAGCTCTTAACAAGCTGATTTCAACAAATCATATGGTTTCTAGCAAAATTTGAAGTGGTGGCCTAGAAAACCAAAAGTTCTGAAAATCTAGGCCACCAACTTTTTTTGAAATTTCGAATCGCTGTAACTTTTGTAATTTTCAACCGATTTTAAAGATTTTTACACTAAAATGTTGGAAATTTTATAGGAAATTTAATGCAATGTTAGCAAATAACCTAGAAAACCAAATCGTGGCCTAGAAACCCCCAAAAGCTAGGCCATGAGTGCTAGGAACATCAAATGCTCATAGCTTTTGTAGTTTTCAACCGATTTTTATGGTTTTGATATCAAAATGTTGGAAATCTCTGTGGCTACAAAAAATACACAATTCCTCTGTATTAGTGTTCAGAAAGTTTCGTAGAATCGCCGAATAATTAATTTTTACAAATTTCGAAAAAAAAAATTTTTTTGAAATTTTTTTTGGAATCTTTTTTTTCAAACCTCTATAACTTTTGTAATTTTCAACCAAATTTTATGATTTTTAAACCAAATTGTAGGAAATCTCTCTGGCTACAGTATACATACACATTGATCCCTCAACTCACTAGTCTTCTGCTCCAAAGTCTCTCTTGCCAACCACGACATCCATTTTCCATCGGCTTCCAATCCGAACAACCACTTGAAGATACCGTAATACCCGCCAACCAGCTGGAATCGATCATCAGCGGTCAGAGAGAATGCATTGGGTTTCAATCCATTGTAAATTCCAATGTATCCAGCGAAATTGTTGGATTTGAAGAGCAATTTTCCGTCCTTAATCCAGTTGACATTGATGATCATCTTACGGAGCTTCTGGGAGATTTGCCAATCGTGGAGTTCTGGATCCCAACCCATGAAAAGTCCGAAATCCAGATTTCTGGAATTTCCAGATTGTTTTGTTTGAAAAAATCATCGAAAACGGCTGAAAACGAGCCGAGTTAGAGCCATTTGAGGTGCTTAGTGGGCGTGGCCTAGTTTTTCTTGACGCAAGAATTTTCTAGGCCACCATATGCATTATATGAATTATTTTATTCTAAAGACAATTGAATTTCCTACATTTTGACACTAAAATCAGCTAAATCCGACAAAAATCCGCCTAGTAATAGCAGTCCTAACTTGTTGGCCTAGAAATTCATAGTTTTTGGAATTTCTAGGCCACCGATTTTCCCAGTTTCCTAAACTAATGATCTATTTGAATTAAGCATGTTAAGAGCTTCAAAATGACTATAAACATGCCTATTTGCTTCACTTTGATTTTTCGATGGGTCCCACCACGAGAACTACAGTAATCTGAAAAATTTGGAACCCTAGCATGATTACGCTTTTTTTGAAGCGCTTAACAAGATAAATTCAAAACTTTTTGAATTTTGAAAAAACTTCATTTTTGAAGGAAGTTATGGACATTTCAATTTCGGGCGGTCCCAAATTTAAAGGCGCATGGACCCAAAAAGTGCAAAAGTAGTCGTGTTTGGACTTATTTGAAAGCTTGTTACAAGACAAATTCAACAAAATTATTTTCAAAGCAACATTTTCAACGTATGGTCTAGAAAATCCGAGAAAAAGTTAGGTCACCTCTTCCAAATCTAAAAATGGCCATAGCTCGGTCAATTTTTATCAGATTCTCATCATTTTTCAGTATCCTGAAGCCCACCTAGCGTGTGTCAAATGTCCATCCTTATCCTGAGCAATGATCGAAGTGCAAACAGTGAAAATCTCGTAGAAGATGTTGTACATTGTGATTTGTCCCAATGGAATTCCAGTGACTTCCGAGATACTGTAGATCTCGTCACGATAAGGCTGAGCAAGCTTTGGTGCCATCTCTCCGAACACGTCGTCTGCCCAATCGACGGCATTTGGGAAAATCGGAGTGATAAGCTCAATCAGCACTCCAATCAGCTCTTTGATCTGCACTTTGTAAGCGGCTCCGATCTGCTTCCAGCGTTCCGATGGTGGAGCATCCAGATTCACATCGAACCTGAAATTTTTGAGAATATTTTTGTGAAAATTTGAGTTTGCCGCGTCAAAAACTTCAAAATGAGTATAAACATGACAGGAGTTGAGCCAGTTTGAAGTAAGTTATACCAATTCTAACTTGATGGCCTAGAAATTTTGGGGTTTTTGGGTTCTCTATGCCACGAGTTGTATTTTTGTTTGAAAGCATTAAAAATTTAAAATTCAGCGTCTTGAGAGCTTCGAAATGAGCCTAAACACGACCCAATTTGGGGAAACTCGAATTTTGACATTAAAGGCGCAGGACCCTCCCTTTGGAAAAATCGAAAAACTCAATTTCAGCCAAAATTGATGGTGTTTAGGCTCGTTTTGAAGCTCATAAGAAAATAAACACATTGGTCTATTTTTTATCAAAATCGAACGAAAATGAAGAGAGTTCCAAATTTGAGCCAAGTTATGTGCAATGTTCACTTGTGGCCTAGAAAAAAACCAGGTTTTTGAACTTTCTAGGCCACCATTTTCATTTTTCCCACTTTTTCAAATTTTGTTGAATTCAGCTTGTCCAGAGCTTCGAAATGAGCCTAAACACGACCCAATTTGGAG